CTCAGTATTCAGGTTGTTACCTTGATAAATAATAAATTAGATAAATGTCATAAATTAGACATCTTTAGCACATCTTCGAACACATTTGTTTTTTGTCTGAATATTCGTTGACCCTTTTGAAAGAAGAATCTCAGTTAAAATAGTTACAAATCAGTTTTTCTAAAATTTTGGTACTTCCCAAATATTTTAATGAGTCATTTCCTCAACAGCAGTTTTATAGATTCATATTTATAGCGTGCTGGCGACCCTAAAACAAGTTTTAAATATTTGAAGCTATTAATATAAAATTTGCATGTATAAATGTAAAATTGTTGCATAAAATTACCTCGAGCTAGATTCCGAAGATAAATAATTCTCATAATACGCACGATATTCAAGTATTATTAAAAATTGTTTCAAGGTTCTAATATGAAGACCAAACAACAGTAGAGTTTCAGAAATCCCAATAAAAAGAAATTTTATTTCCAATTCATAGCTCAGAAACTAGTATTTCTATTAAAGAAAAAATCTGATGTGTACACCACATGACTTTATTGTACGGAATATTAAATTATACGTATTTTTTCTTGCATTTCATTTAAACTTATTGGATTGAATTAAATCTATTTCGCCAACAGCGCATAAACCACAATAGAATAAATGCACTCTTTAAAATTCACTCTGTTTGTTTACTATAGCGATATTCTGGCGCTAGGTTTACTTAAAAGCGTTATATTTAACTCATATTATAACTCAGAATGCACAAAATTTATATCATTTAAAGAATTATTTAATCTTTGCCACATCTTCTATTCAAATACCATAATAAAGCTAGAACGAAGTATAAAAGAAATTAAGAAAACAGTTTTTCACAGACGATTCAAAAAAAGAAACAGTTTTTCACAGACGATTAAATACTTCTCATTCAATTAATTCAGTTCTCACTTCTCGACAAGGCAAAAATACATAAAAAATCAAAATATCTGTATTAAAAATTACAATGTAAATCTTAAAAACTTATTTCCTCGAAAAAATTCCAGAAAGGATTACGTATGATTTAATTCACAATAATAAATGAAGGCGTTATCTTTGTTGTTGCGAAGCTAAGTTTCTCTAGATTGGCAACAAATCCACTATTTTGCTGTTTCAAATGTAAACAAGCAATGGCCGCCATCAAAAACATTATTAGGCTTAGCAGCACTTAAACAACTTTAAAATTGTTGATAATTCTAAAAATATTGCATATAGATTTACTAAAGGCATAAAAACCTTAACCTTAAGAACAACATAATTCAATTATTTTTAAAGCAAAAAATGTACAATTTACAAACATATAAGAGTAAAGAAACCGAGATCACCGAGCCGGGTAACAGAGTGGATATATATATAAATATATTTATATACGTTTGGTGCGGCCAATTGCAATAAAAATACGAGGTTCACATCTACATGTTATAGCAGTCCTATATACAAAATTTCAACGTTCTGAGCCTACTCATTTTTGAGTTATGCGAGATACGTACGTACGTACATACGTTCGTACAGACGCCACGAAAAATTCTCTTCAGAATTCATTTTAAAGCAGTTTTATAATTTTTTTGGAGGAAAAGAGTCTTTTATTCTGTACCTACGTACAGATATCTGGCAAAAACATCGTTAAATTTCATTCGATACGGTCAAAATGGATATTTTCTTTGATATATGCTGCCTGAAACTTTTCGCGATTACAATACTTCCTTTTTACTTCGTACAATGAAGTAAAAATGTTCATTATTTTGTGCAATGAGCAGCATTCCATGACCGAAGAGGAAGGAAATCAAAAATTCAAAACTCGTATAAACTCGTAACACTGAAGGAATTCGCAGTTGCATCTTATTTAGAAACTAGAATAAACTAGAATATTGCAAAATTAAACCTACTGTAAAATTTAAAAAAAAAATTTTAAAAACCTCGAAAAGTTTAGCTTTAAAATTTCAAAAAGTTAAAATGTATTTAAAAAATTAAACAATATAAAAATTAATTTAAAAACAAATTCTTATCTGATTTTGATATGCACATTTCAGTTTAACATTTGGAACAATGCCAGGTTAAGTAATTATGATTTGTCTACTAAATCAAGAATTAACCCTCAAAATTAAACATACAGAGCACAAAATCTTGTATTTAAAATGTGCTGTTTAAAATGACAATGCCAAATACTAAGAATCTTGCTGTCGTTTTGCTTTTAAACTAAGAAGTACAGTAGAAAGCATAATATGCATGCCTACGCTGCAACTTGTTTAATAATGAATGCTCATTTAAATAACATCTTTGAAATTCAGTTTCGATATTTGAAAATTTCTCCGATGTAAGGCATGCGAATATTTTAAATTAATGTTTTCGTTTAAATTAAATCTTAGTAGCTAAGAGAATTACGTTTGGTTATGTTATTATTTTCTGCCAGAAGCAGATTTATATTGCTTAACTGGAACTTCAAATGAAATTGTTTTAAATAAAGTATTTCTCCGAGGAGAGTTCTGTTCCTTGAGTTGATAAGACTAGATACCTTTACAATGTACATTTGTAAATACCACTGATCTTCTGTGAAAGTAAATTTGCAGCTTGGTAACATAATGACCATCAAACTCGTTAGCAGACACAAAAATTCGAGTTAAATTCTTAGTCGAAAGAAAACTTTGTAGTTTTATGAAAATCAAACAATAATCTCCTCTAATTTCAATTATGAGCTCTGAATATTTTATTTTGTATAGCTAAGAAATGATAACAGGCAAACAATATTATCTTCACCCCAAAAGCTGGAGTTATACCAAAAATGCCTCCTATTACTACCACGATCGCAACTGCTTATTTTTCTAATAGAGCACTTATCTTTCTTTGCTTCATAAATACCTTCTAACGAAAATTTCAAATTATCAAAATACATTTACGCACTTACATTAAAGAAAATTTATAATAAAATGCAGGCATTTCCCAAAGGCAATGTCTCTAAATAAGGAAGCAAATTTTAATCTGTTGATGAAATAAATCAGTGCTAATGCATATTAATTGTTTCAGTAACATCAAAAACTTGAATGACAAGACATTTGTTAAGATTTACAAATTAAATAAGAGAAGATATGGATGCAAAGTTTGCTTGTAACAAGAAGACAATAATAAGCTATAAAAAGTATTTCTATCTAATATTTTAAAGCAAAACTATTTTGCATGAATTTATGTGTTTTGTGTTAAACTGCCTGTGAATAATAATTCTTAAAGGACAGCAAAATATCTAAATGCAAGAAGAGAAATTGGAAATCTTTTGAAGATTAAAAATTAATTACCAATAAATTGAAAAATAATGTTTCTTAAAGCATTAAAATATTCTACCAGTATTTATGCTTTTAATAATTTTTAATTGTATTTTCTCAGTCAACAGAAAAGAATGGTGTAAGTTTAAAAAAAATCTGGGTGATTTAAAATACGCTCCTCATGAAAATTAAAAGATAATATGAAAAATTATCTTCACTCATTAAAGTTTTCAACAAGTGTCTGATAACGTAATTATTTATGTTTATTATCTGCAGCAGAACAGAAGATTTGACTTTTGCTCAAAGGTTAGTGCAAGAAATTAGAAAATTAGGCGACTGACAACTTGCTCGAGAAAACCATGAAGTAACTACCAGAGAATTAATTGGTTTTACATCTTGAGGCTACTCAAATCGCTGTTCTGCAAACTCGAATCAGCTGTACTGCTGTTACACGAAAGTTTCATAAATTGGATTTTATGCGAGAAAATAAAAGGTTTGGGTTCCACTCTGTTTTCCACAGTGGCTCATAAAGTGGTGTTCAATGAAACCAAAAGGAATGGGACCATGTACTATTTCCTGAACAATCCAAATATAACCTGAACTGGGATTCATGACATTTTTTTATCTGGAGGGAGTGAGAAACATGCAACCTATCTTTCTTTGTTATGAAAAGTCTCTTTTTCAAGTTTCATAGTTTGAGGTGGAATCATCGAATATGGGTGCACCGAATTGCATATCTTTAAAAAAGTTCTGTGACCTATCATAGATATCTGAACGAAATTTCTGAACATCATATAAGGTTGTTTATATGCGCTGTTGACTCAGATGTTTTATTAATGAACGACAGTACTCCTCTGCGTTGAGAAAGTGGTATCAGAAAAGTTAGAAACAGAAGATATCACTAAAATTAAATGACTACTTACCCACTGTACTTGAATTCGATCGACCATATATGGAATGTCTTAGGATGCAAAATTGTACCACGCCAAATGCGATCTCAGACCCTTCAAGATGTATAAAATTATATATATGGTGCACCGAATGGCAGTTTCATATATATGGTGCACCGAATGGCAGTTTCATATATATGGCTGCACCGAATTGTATATGAGCAACTTGTAGTTTCTCAATGCTTGATCAAGAATTCGACTAATTCTTATGAAATCAAGATGTGAGGTACTGCATTTCTGTCATAAGTGATCATAAGCCATATTAAATAAAGATTTGTTACCATACACAGCAGACCATTTTTCTATCATTCTTAAATTTTTAAAAATGGAATTTAATATTTTGAAAATTATCTATCAGAAAATATTGTAGTTTATGTTTAATAACATTGTATAGATTGATTCTTATTAAGTAACAATTAAGATTTACTTCTGTTAATACCCTTTGATTTTGGCAAGCAAAATATCATTATTTCCTAAAAAATAATAGATTTATAATTATGAATGAAATATCAAATGTGACTTTCTTTTTGTAGCTATGTTATTGTTTTTACTGAAACATTTTAACACGTTTATATTTTAATCCTAAAACGGATTAAATAACTATAAGTCGTTGGGAAACTGTTAATAATAATTTCTTAATCTAAAAAAATAATTATCAGTCACCTTCCAGAGACTGTTTATATTCACGTACGAAAAACAGTCCTCATTGAAATGTTATGATAAAATAATGCATTTTGAAATACTATGTGTATATTACATTTGTTTTTTTTTCATTTGCTTTCAGGGTTCGTGGTGTCGTCATGAAGGAATAAAACTACTTCCACAACAAGCCGACGCCCAGTCATCCCACGCACTTCCATAGAAGGCAGCAGACAGGAATGGCCATCGAAAAGTAGACAATTTCGGTGGGCGACCAAAAAAAAATTTCAACTTTGCGGGCGAAAGCAATACCAACGAAACAAATATCAAATATGCCTGGAAGTCTCCTCCTGACATCGTCGCCGACATTGCGTGGGGTGACTCGCAACGAATCGACGCGTTCGGATTCTTCTGCTGCTTCTAATACGTCCCAGGGCTCTATCTCAGGCAATAAGAAAGTGAGCTTTAACAAGTCTGTACGCGTTAAGAAGTACCCTCGCCCTAAAAAGAACGATACATCTTCATTTAAAAACGAGAATAACGGAGAGGTTGACGTCAATGGTACGGAAGTTCCAGGCAGTCCGGGAAAGCGTTTTTGGTTCAAAGTGTACAAGAATAAACACCGTCAGTCACCAGATCCCAACGAGTTCCGGCACAAAACTGAGGTCATCTATTATGGCAGCAATGGAGATGCTGACGTTAACGGTTATCACGATGATATCATAAGCTACCACCCAAATCCTTCTGCTCTAAATTATCCGGTGTTGACTTCAGAATGTGGAACTCAGACTCCAAGTCGCAAAGGAGATAACTCAACGCGCACAGCTCTGTTGGGGAATGAATTCACTCCGCTTCATCCGAGTCAGATGCCCTCTGATCCTCCTCCAGTGAAAAGGAATTATGTAAAAAAAATTGTCAACCGTTTTAACGAAGAAGCAGTGCTTCAGCGACAGAGATCTTTTGAAGGTGACACTATGGGAAGTCCCCCCGTTTCACCACCTGGATCGCCGAGACAGCATTCAACTCCCAAACAAATACCGGTGCCTCCTCCACCGCCTCCTCCTATTCCTCCATCCACATCTGAACCTTTTCCTAGAGCTCCAACGCCTGAAGGAATTTTTTCTGCTTATCGATTAAAAAAGAATCCTATTGTTAACGGTGTTAAGGTAATGTTTGGTATGAATCAAGTTAAGAAAGAAGAAAAAAACGAGAAAATAAATTCAGAGAAAAAGATGCAGCACGAAGATAGGAGAAGTACGGAATCCGGACCATACAAAACAGAAATTGTGATCTCTGATGGCTCTGAAACAGAAGTTAAATCTCCGTATCCTTCCACCGATAAATTTCTGTATGGAGAGTTTGATCGCCATAATGAGCTTGTTAAACGAAATGGAAAATCAAACATTTCCCTATCTATGGATAATTTAGGTGACGATAGTTATGGATATTACTTTGAAGATGGAGATAATCGTGAAAGAAAGAGCAAATATCATGTAGAAGCATGGGATAGTGGTAATCAGTTACTGTTTGACACCACAGATGTCAATACTGCTACAGCTAGAACAGACAAAGGTGAATTTGTTTCAACTGTTGGAGAGAAGCATCAGCTTTGGAGAAATAACAAACGTATAATAGTTTACGAAGAACCTTCACCAACTATTATCAGACGAAAAGCCAAGTCACAAAGTGATTTAAGCAACACCGAAAACAAACATTCGCAGGATGAAAAACTCGATAAAGGAGTATCCACGGATGAGCTATTTACTCGAAAAGCTGAAAAGAAAGAAACATTACCGAAAAAGCAAAAAGACTCTTGGTTGAGACATTTCAGATCTTCTACAAAAGACAAGGGAATACAGTGTAGCCATATTCCTTCAGATGAACCAGAAGAACTATATGGTTTTGGAAGGTACAAAATTATTCGTCCAAGGAATGGGGTTGTGTCAGCTTTCAGCAATGTCCCAACTCTAAACAAATCTAAACATAGTGAGACTACGAATACGATTTCGAGTGATGTGAATGGTCATAACAGTAAAACAAGTGTAATATACAGCCAAATAGATAAATCAAAAAAGAAAAAAAATGGACATAAAATTTCGAAGAAGAAAACAGAAGACGGAAGGATGGGTGGCTTATTTAAATCCCGCTCTGAGCCTCTGTATATTGGACCACCTCCAAAATCACAACAGTACTCAAACGATGATAGTTATGTGAATGATGATGGTCTGGAAGATAATTATTTTGAAGACAGAGGAGAGAGAATTGTGAAAACATCAAAGAAAAGCTTTGGATTTCGACTCCACACAGGAAGAGAAGATGATGTTGCAGAAGGAACGAAAAACAGCTTCACCGAAGAAGATTGGTACAATGTCGATGGTGACGTGGAAGCTGTAGAAAGACAAAAGAGAAGAGGCCGTAGTCATAGAGATATCGCTGAAGTACGGCAAGAAATAGCAGAAGAAGAAATATCTGATGCAAGCAGTCTCAGTAACGGCGAACACAGGCGTAATACTGGAGGTGCTGGATCTGTTATGCGAGAAGTAGATTATAAGAAACGAGAAATATCATATGAGAATGTCCCTAGGTCAGATGGCGAAAGTAGTAACCAACCTAACATAGAGAGCGGACTCTGGTATAGAGACGCCGACGAAGATTATCGAAAAGAAATGGCACAAAGTGAAGTTTCGTACCCGGCTGGTAATTCAGTAGGCAGTGATAGATTCTATACAGTGGATCGCAGAGAGAAACCGAACAAAAAATTACCCCCACCAAGTCCTCGAGCTTATACTCTTGACCGCCGCCATTTAAAGAGTAAGGATAAGAACAAGCAAGTTCCTAATACCAGTGGTGTGAAAATCTTAGTAAATGGCAAAGAAGTTAAAGAAAAAACCTCTGGAAAGAAAACCAAGAAGCGAGAAGACCCATCTTCGGTTCAGAGTGATCCCTTATATGTAAGAGGTGGACTCGCCGCTGCTTATCAAGCCAGACAAAGAGCTGCAGTACGACGGAGCAATAGTTCTGCTTCTGGATTAAGTAGCAAATATCACAGCAGTAGTCCTAACATTCGACGGATCGTGGCTGGATCATCAGAAATATCGGCTGCTAGTTCTGAAAGTGACTCAGGTAGGCATCGTCGACCATTAGTTATGTACATACCGGGTATTAGTCACCCGGAAAAGTCGTCCGAAAATGATGATAGGGTCAGTAGCACCATTGCAAGAAGCCAGTCTATGATGACACCATCGCGCCCACCTCGCATGGTGAAACGAGTGAATCAGAAAGCGTACAAGGGATCTAAAGCAGATCTCCACCGAAATGGTGACATTTATGAGGAAGATGAAATCATGCCATTGGCTTCTGAATCTAACAGAAAGAAACCTCCGAAAGTCCCTACAGATTCAAGGAAACATAATGACATCAAAAGACGTCATTCTATGCCAAAGGACACTAAATTTTCATGGTTAAAATGGAGGATTAGAGGAAAACCGTCTAGGGAGCCATGAATCCTAATTTTTTCTCTGTCACGGGATCCTCTTCATTCAACAAACATGACTTCGAACTTATACTTGTGACATTGTTCATTAGCTTTATTTCATCATAAGAATGCATTTTATGCTCTAATGTTTTGTACATATGGACTTCCTTACAGCCAGTTTGTAACATTTTAAAGCCTTTCCTTCAAATAATTATCTTAGACGTTGACGTTCAAAAGTAATTTTTGGAGTAAACCTCTGCTTCATGTCGCTTTTAACATAGTCAAGTTTACGGGTATGTGCACATTTTTAATTGAATGAACCATTGCGCGGATAAAGAACTTCTTACTTCCTATGAATACTTTGCTTAGAATTCGTTTGTTTTTGAATACATTTCTTCGATTGCTTGCTCACTGTTATAAACTTCGACTGACAAAGTGTTCTTCCGATGGATTGTGTTTCTACCACCTCAGACTGAAAACTTGACTGCATAATTTTAATGTTAAATAGCAAAGAATCAGAACTGAAACTATTTGTGTATGTACACTGAATGTGTGATGTCATGCAATACTTTGTGCCAATGATAGTATAGCAGTCATAATAGCTGTGCCATTATGTTCTTGAAAAGTTGGCTATTGCAAACCTTTTTTTTACTTTGCTGTAGCTGACTGTTAATTCTTTTCATTGTATTCATTAGAGTGCTCAAAGTAGTAAGTATAACATACCCTTTTAATACATTTTGGTCTTTCCAATTTGTTGTTTGCAATAATTTAAGTGGATAAAATAATTAAGAGTACTTGCTGTGTGTTTCAAAGCTTGAAAATAAAGCAAAATAAGCAAAATAGAAGAGTTTTAATCTGTAAAAATTTTAACCGAAAGTTAAATATACTCTAATATAAGAGTATATATATATATTTTTTTGTAAAAAGTGCGTTGCATGAAATAAATGGTAATAAAAGAAAATTAAAAAGAAACGGAGGCTGATATTAATAATATAAAATTTATTTCTTAAAACTCACTATTTTAAAGGTTTGACAAATTGTATATTGGCTTGTATGAAAAACTTATATAACTGGCTTTACTAGCTAGTCGATATTGATGTCTTTTAAACTAAATATACTGGAAATTTAAAATAATCATAGTTACAATTTAAAAACTGTATTAATAAGTTGCAAAATATTCCCGAAAAATGTTAACTGTAAAAAATTTCTTAAAATAAAAATTATCATAATTTTTCTTAGATTCTTTCAGATGGTTATGATAATTGGAACAAATACAGTAACACAATGCTTTTTATTTATGAAAAGTATAGTAAGTGTATCTTTCATATATTTTAATTAGTTAACAGTATCATTTAATATTTTATTCTGAATTAAAAAAATGCTAATGTGCTTAACAAAATAAAAGTCTGATCCAATTAGCTGTACCAAGTTCATAATATGATATTCGATGTTATGCTACTAGAGACTGAATACTCTGAAGAGACTGGAATATTCTGAAGTCTCTGTGCTTATACTAATGTAATTGCTTGTATAAGTCAGAGGTTTCAGCTTGTTGCAGAAAATTATAAAATGTTGTAAAAGCTTTCACCTTTTAATAGTAATCTATCATCGATAAAAAGCAATTCAGTTATTCCAATTAGTCTAAAGTTTTGATTACTTAACAGGATGTGATATTCATTTTACGTCATCTTTTCTTCTAATTTTCAATAAAAATGAAACTAGAGTGATTGCAGTTTGAGCATTTCTTTGAAATAGAGATCGAAACTAACTAAATTTTTATTAAATTATTATTATTTTTTTTTTTTGAGTAAAAAGTAAAGCATCTATTAGAAAGCATTATTTCAATACTCAAAATTTCCAAAATAAGGAGATTCATAAGCTATTTATAAATTTCTACTAGTCTTACATACTTTTTTATAATTTTTCAAACTGCCTTTTCAATAAGCTGTGGTAATTTACAATACTCGAAAGGCAATAAACGAAAATTTGACATTTTAAATTAAGAAGATTCTAGAAAATATCTGAACAATCAACATATCTCTGCGACTAATTGCGTCTTAAATTAAGTAATGTGACTATGAAAACTGCTTGCATGATCTTCCTGTATTTATCATTTATTAAACTTATATTGTACAATTTACAGTTTATTATTTCTGCCATTAAAAAAAATCAGATTTCATGATAACTGATTAAAGAAACAAGCAAATAAATTTAAGTAAAATATTATTATTATTTTTATTGTTTCCGTAATTTTGAGCTAAAATTTTTTAAATGCGTTAAGCATATTTGAGTTTAAAAGGTACAGTTATAAATGGGACAGCATTATAATGAAAAATGAGCTAAATTGTTCGATTCAAAGATACTGTATAATAATTCTAAAATCTATTGATTTAATTTTATTGTCTTATTTAATGCGTAATTACGTGTTTCAGTATTTACAAAGATTACTTTTTGATTGGATAACTGAAGAAAATTACACCTCAGAGAACGGAAGCAACATACATAAACACATACATACACTCGCATTAAAGTCAAAAACAAAGGAATCTATTGGTAGAGAATTTCAATTATTTTACCTACCTTCTCCAAACATTTTTTTCTGATGTTTCCTGAAATTATCGACGCAAAAATAGAGATAAATATTCTTTTATATGTAAAGTATATATTCATTTATACTTACAGATAAATACTCATTTATATCTACAATGAAGCCCCTTAAGTAATCCCCTGTTTTAACATGTCTTTATTTATATGCATTAAATATGAGTAAGAAGGGTAGGAGAGAAAACCTTTTACTTGGATTTCAATATATAGCAACCTTAATGTATTCTTTTATATGTAAAGCCTGTTTTCATATGTAAAGTATTCTTTTATATTTGAAGTATATATTCATTTTTACTTACAGATACTCATTTATATTTACAGTGAAGTCTCCTTAAGTAATTGCGTTATTGTCTAACTTTACTTGGTTTTCTAAACAGATTAGCTCGTTTTTAACCACTTAAAATTCATAGTTCCTTGTCCAATTTTAATATGAAAGATTCCTTTAATACATTATGTAATTCAGTTTCATAGAACGTAATTCGAAAAAAATCAAAATTTGATGTTATTTTTATAAAAGAAAAACGTAAAAACTTTTAAGATTTTTTTATATTCAGTATGAATTTCGACGTATGTTTTTCTACTTTAGCATCTGCTCTACAAAACTGCTTTTCTTAGGATGGCCGTATGCATTTTAATTGTAAACTTATACCTAACCAATCAAATTTATAAATTTGTAATCAATTAATTAACTTTTTTATTTCATTAACAAGCAATGGATGCTATTGTAAAATTTGAAATGCTACTTTCTTTACTTTATTGAATGTTTTCGAAATTCTATTAGAATTTAGCTTGATTTGAAAATGTTATGAAATGAAATAGGAAATAAAAAATTTTGAAATCTATTTCTTTTAAAGATAGATGTATATCTAATAATCAGCAGATAATAACTACTACTTTTAATATGTATCATGGTGATATTTAAACCTTATACAAACCAGTAATGCAGAATTTTTTAAACTACTATTTAGGATTTTAGGATTCGAAGTAAAATTTTGGCACTTATCCAAACAATTAATTAACCATTAATAATAAAACAAGTCATAAAAATATATAAAGAGACTTAAAATTATAAATGAAAAATAATGCTGAACTGGTTATTATGAATTACTTTACAAGGCAAGGTTAGAGTAATAGAAGCAAAAGGTGAACTAGTTGAATATCTACTCTTTCGTAATATCTATTATTTCACTCTTAAAACTAGTTTTAGCTGGTATGTTTGGAAAGTGCTTGTTAAGGAGCTCCAGGTAGTAATAACGAAAGGTTTCCTCCTGATTTTAAATATCTAACCTTCCAAGTTATTACCGTCAGCCAAGACTTTTAACATATGAGAAAAAGTTAAATATGTTTCCAATTCAAAGGTGTTAATACAAAATTAAAACGAAGTGCTCTATATGTTATTTAAAATATTTACAGTATTGTGTGTACTTTTGTGGGAGAAAAACGGAATTAACGAAATTTATTCCAATATTTCTATTTCCATTTCATTTTCAAAATGGAGATTAACTACCACTTTTTTAAATTTATAAAATGTGATATAATATTTCAAATAATTTTGTATCGGTGAAATATTAAAGTAAGTTTAAAGTATGTTGGATCTTATGTTTTTCTTTTTATTTTCACGTATATTCCAGGTAAACAACTAAACAGGTAAAACCAAAGGCTTACGTAAATAAAAATATAATTTAAAATAAATAATAATAAGATTTTAAAAACAATATCTGAAAACTTTCAGTTTTCATATTACGCTCAAAGGGGCTTTTTTTAACGTTTTGTTAAAAAAAAAAACGTTACGTTAAAAACGTTTACTCTAAAAAAAGTTGTGTTACCTTTTGTTACATTAAATATCATGTTCTTCGCACTTAAACCATAAAATTAAATTCAACAGCAGTGTCACAAAATATTTAAAAGCGCATATCTTTAGAATTTCCGATACACAGTCTTGCGCGCTTGAGGTAATTCCCCTCCCCCGTACAGCGTAAAAATTCCAAATTTTTGCTTCTTTGTGGAAAAATTCGGGTGGAGACGTACGTTATTCAAAATTTAATGGCTCTAGGTACCGTTGTTTTATCACAATGCGAGACATATACATACATTTATGCAGATTCTTCATTATTTAATTTCTTTACATGTAATACAGAGCTCTAATATTTGGTGGCAACAATCTAAAAAGTGATTCGCCGTTTATAGTGAATCAACGCAAAATGCCAAAACTAAATTAATAGCCTTTCTGGGCAAATTGTCCCTTTGGGCTAACAATTCATGTATACTAGTTATTTCATAATTTCTTTCAATAACAGGCAATAATTCTTAGGCTTTGAAGTGAATTCAATTTAACACAGTTTTGTATTATTTATATGTACCATATTTACCCACGTATTTTCACTCTTTTTCTATTAATTTTATTGCTTGAAAATCAGTAGGGGAAAATACGCGATGTATACTACTTTTAAAGAGGCAGATTAAATGATAAATTTAGCACATTAAAAAGTATATATAAAGGCACAGTAATATTATTATGTTATGCATTTCAAAAGACTTATTAATTTCAATACCATTCTTTCACTAATACAAAATAATTTTCTACATGTGCATACATTTTACATTTTTACCACAAATCAGAAATTTCTAAATCATATGTTGAAAAAACTACAATGAAAAATACGCGAGTAAATACCGTGCATAATTATCCTTTACAATCATTTGTAACGATAGAATTGCAATATCAAAAATGCATTTAATATACATTATTTATACGATGAAAAAAGAGTGAATGCATGCCATCACAAATGATGAAATTTTACCGAAGTTATTAAAAATATTTGTTGAGTGTACAATTACTAATTTAGAAGTCAAACAACAAAAATTAGTGTTATATTTGCATATTTTCACAGGAATAGTTTCGATGGTTTTACCGAACGATCATCCTCAGCTGCCGAAGATGAAATGAGCGAGATAAGATATAGTGATAAGATAAGAATGGCTGGACAGGAGTTAAGCTACCGGTGGTTAACTCCTATTCAGCCACTCTTATCACTATAATCTGGTTCATTTGCTTTTTGGTAGCTGAGGCTGCTGGTTCCGTAAAACCATCGAAACTAGTCCTGTGAAAATTTCAAAATATAATGCTGATTTTTGTTGTTTGACTTCTAAATTAATATTTGTTCGGCGTGTTATATTTTACTTAATGGTAATTTAGGTATTTAAATTACTTTCGACATCACTTCATTAAAGCATGTACGTAATATTTACTGCGAAGCTGCTATATTATTCTGTTATATTTTTCCTAATCGATAGTAAAATAAACATTTTTGGTTTAAAATAAACTTATAATTAAGGATTTACATATTGTTTGCATACTGTCTGTGGTGGTGCTTTCCATAAAAAAAATAATTTTTAAGCGCGTTCAAAACTTGATTTAATCTCTTTAAAAAGCTTGAAGTTTTATACAGTTGTCAAGAACATCATTTACTCTTTTATATTATTTCTCAAATTCAGAACATTTGACCTAATTATGTTAAACAAAACGTTTAACAATGAAGAAAATTAACATTCTGTTTCTTATTAAAGATTATTTAGTATGGAAGGTTTTGTATAGCTTCTTTGAGAATGATACTGTGGAATGCTTATATTCTTCGCTGAAGAAAAGAAATAATAGCTGATAAAAATTGGTAACTAGGCTTCCAATGTATAAATTAATTAAATATAAAAAATACCAACTTGTAAAAGGGAGACTAAATTGATAAATGAACTACTTTTCTTCAGTCAGAACTTTGGCTTTATATTCAAATAAATTAGCTGGTATTTTCTTAAATAAATAAAACATTTGACAATTATATGAATTTTCTAACGGTTAAAGTTTTAGTGTTACAGTTTGCTGCTCTTTTTATCTTCCCGTCTTAGTAGTTTGTCCTATTCAAAATTGTTATAGATATTCAGTTACTCGAGAACAAAGTTCAAATAACGTGTCACTTAACTAAAGTTTATAGTTAAGCCTAGTTCTTTTCTTGTCGTAGTGAAATACTCATCATACCCTGCGCTTTTCACTGGCCGTATATTGATAGCCGTTTGGCAAGTGAATGTTGAAAGTTGAATGAAACGAATCTCTGTAAGTTAGAGTTAACAATACCCAGGTGTACAGTTGATAAGTTCTTTAACATTTGTAGCTTTACGCCAACTAATGAATAGTTTGCTAGCCAACGACTCTTAGTTTCTGTAGTGTAAATTGTTTTAATTTGTGCCATAATTTATAGCTCACATGAATTTTCAGTTGTTAGTTAATTGGTTATTTTTTAGTTTTTTTTTATTATTATTATAGTGAAAGAGATAATTCAGCTTGATATTTAAATAACCTAAGCTAGACAGTTAAACCGACGTCAAGATGATAAGTAGGATTTTAATTTTTAGTTACAGTTCATAAAAAAATACGCAATTAAGATAATACTTAATCTGAATGATTAAGAAAGCAAACTGATTTATTTTATTGAACACTTGGAAAAAATACTGTACACAGACGCACGTTTTTTTTTTTTTTTTTTTTCATTTCTTTTGAGAAGCGAAAGTTTCAGTCAAAAATTCTCTCAAGTCTGTTCTATAAATGCAAGAAAATATTTTTAGAAATCCTTTTACAGTGCTACATTTGCAGGAAGCTAGTAGAAGCATGAAACTGATTTAATTTTGTTCCGAGAGCTTTTTATCTGCATCCAAAAATAACTAAAACTACAAGGTCATAGATATGATACATTTAATATGCTTTAAATAAAGCTGAAAAAGCTTAATAATTCTGAGGTAACACTGGATTAAGCATTCAAAATGGTACTATAAAAAATTCGATGCTTGTATTTTTAAAAATATATGTATATCAAACTTCCCAGTTTCTACATTTATTTATTATTAATGGTAACAAATAAAAAGCCTAATATTATTCAAGAAATTGCTTTCTGCCTATTGAAACGCACAGAACCTTGCAGCTGTTATTAACAGAAAATACGACTGAAAATTTATCAGTTATTAGCTTCCATGTTGATGTATTATTGAATATATTAAATATACATTCAATCATTTTCTTGGCATTCATCAATGAGGTTTGAATAAGCAAATACACAGAAATGGAAAAACTCTTGAAAAGTGATTTTAGAATATGGAATAACTTATTATTATGACTGACTGAAGTACTAAACCCACCTTTCCGTCACATAAATTAGTGTCTTCAGATCAATGGAGTAACGTATAATGCCTGAACTAGATTCTTTTCGTATTAGCTTGAAAAACAAAAGATGATTTGGATTTCATCAAGGTCAAAGTTTATATGCTAAATTGTCTAGGAAAAATCCCTGAAATAATGGTCTTAGTAGGTTATTCCATGTATATGTAGAAATTCATACCTGCGAATGGTGATATTTCAGTCTTTGATATAATTGTGGGTCGATCTTACATCATTGATGCTGTAAGTGCAGTCTATCTTGCCTTATTCTCAATACCAAAAGGAATAGTGCGAATCATATTACTAATAATTTAAATCACGTGAATGGGCCTTATGTATCCAGATTAGTAGGCTTTTGATTATGGATCTAGGTCATCGCAGACCTATTTGTATGCTTATGCTCACAGTCGTTCTCCTCCTTAACATTTACAGTGGACAAATAATCATTTTGCTATTCAGTACTGGAGAAGGTTACATTGTCAGAAGAATGTTGTTTTTTATACTGGCAGAGAACAAATTTAGTTTGCCATAAATTTAATCAAGTATTTTGTCTAACATGTATTCATTCGCAGTTTCTACTGATAGATGGAGAAAGAGAGGTGATGAACGTGGTGTTTTCTTGAAGAATAGTTGAAAGCATCATCCCTGCAATCTATTCACAGTTCGCAATTAATTCATGGAGATTATATTCCCAGATGAAGCGTTGCAACAGCGATTATGCAAGATAATACTTTAATGACATCTGCAAAGATGGCTAAGGAAAATGAATAGGCATTTCCTTTACTGTCATGGTTCCTAATTTGCTAGCCGTAAATTCATACAAACATTTCTGGTAAAATTCATACAAACATAAATAATTCATACAAACAATTTTGAAATAGAGAAATAGTGTAAACTCCAAACATATAATTTATAGAAACTGGAAGACTTTTGCCATAGTTTTAAATATCCAAAGAAACATCTATCTATATTTCATTCAGTTTACGCCCCTTTGGATAAAAGCTGCGCAAGAGGAGGACTTGCATTATATTATGTGTGGGGCTTTAAAACTACGGCTATTCCATAGTCCATATATCTGCTGCCTGCAATTACAATAGAGTCTACATTTTGCAATCCTATTAAAATTTTTCTGTATGAAAAAATTTGTAAAATTTATAATGTAATATTCTTTTCTGTATATTTTATGTTTTTGTTGTTAATTGTTTACTCATTTGTACTTTTTACCAATAAATTCACGAAATTTTGCACCGAGAAATCCAGAAATTTAAGTAATGTTTTATAGATGTAAAATTATGTAGTATGAATCTAGAAAGCAATTTACAATCATTTTCCAGTTATTCTGTAATGTATTCTAGGATTTCCTGTAAAAACCAGCAATCCAAGTTTA